GGGGGGGGGGGGGGGTGCTAAATCCAGTTCCTTCGGCATTACCTTCTGACGTCGACGCTTTTCTTTTCATCTTCTAGACAGACTCACACACAGGACATTCTAGAAGGGTGAATGATTTTGCCCAATTTAAAGGAGCTTTGCTAACTGCGTCTGCTGATGGAACGTTGCAGGTGAAGATGTTATTTTTCTGTTGCTGTTTCTTATCTTTATGTTGTGAAACATCATGGATTGTGAGGTCCATAACAAACCAGTATAGACCTTTGTATATTTTCACTACAAAATAAGCATAAAAGGGGTGGGAAGACTTTTTAAACTTAAACAAAGAAGTTGAAAACCCTCGTAGGCTTGGGCGGTTTACCGGTTTTTCGTTTTTTTTCGGTTTTATTTTCAAACCGGTTTTTTCGGTTTAGCTTTACAAAAACCGGAAAACCGTCATTACGTAATTGTTTACTGTCATCGCCTGAAACTCGATCATAATTCTCAAAACATGACACCAATTAAACTCAATTACGTGACACTAGATACAAATTCTATTCTTTTTCCATAAAGTCGGTAAGAACTGAAGAGGTATAAGTTTTCAAGTGCGTTCTTGACCCTTTTATTTTAAAACTGAAGTCGTTTTAGGTTACCTTTGCACAATTTTGCGTTTTGTCATGTACGGTTCGTTTGCTTATTACAGAAAAATACCACAATTCCTCCTCATACAGTTGACATACAAATTAAAGGGAAAAAAACGGTTTTTCGGTTTTACCGGTTTAGAACCAGACGATTTTCGGTTTTGATTTTAAGCAAAACCGCCCAAGCCTAAACCCTCGTCCAATAACGATAGTGACAACATATGGATGGTAAAAAGACTGGAGAGGAAACTCGTGATCACATATGATGTTTTCAGCGTACCAATTGCGTCTCAACGTTATCACATCACGGGCAATAGGACAGGTGTAGTGTTGTTAAATAAAAAGTTAGAAATGGTATTGTACTTACCCATGTATTATAATTATGTTTAGAAGATCAGAATATTCATAACTTCTTATTTTGTTTCATAAATAGTTCTTTAATATTCGAAACAAATTCCACATCTACTTTGTCTGCCGCCGCCATGTTTACTCGCCCCAATCTACATACTACACAGCACAAGGAGGGGCGGCAATGCCGTGTAGTATGTAGATTGGGGCGAGTAAACATGGCGGCGGCAGACAAAGTAGATGTGGAATTTGTTTCGAATATTAAAGAACTATTTATGAAACAAAATAAGAAGTTATGAATATTCTGATCTTCTAAACATAATTATAATACATGGGTAAGTACAATACCATTTCTAACTTTTTATTTAACAACACTACACCTGTCCTATTGCCCGTGATCACATCGTCAAATCCACAATAATGGCACATTTAGCAATATTATGGCTAAACATTTTAGTCAAAAAACCTATGAGTATATAACCACGCCATTCCACATCATTTCTACAATGGAATATGTGAATATTAATTGTAGTCATTTTCAAGGACCATTTCAAGCACTAGACGGTGAAATATGCGTCAAAAAGGTCAATTAAATAAACGGTATTCTTTGCGATGTCAATTTTGTTATCTACAAATTAAAGAAAAAACCTAAACCAAGGACGAACAACATTTACCTCGAATAACTTGTCGTGGCAAAGGCAGGTTTCTAAGACAATAAAACCATCTTGAATCTCAATATAGCTTTTTTGAATATGGAAAATATAGTGAAATCGCAGTAAAAGCTTCATTACATATTCGCAATCTATCAAAAAATTCAAATAGGATGATTTATTGGCGTCAACTAGTTTCTTATCCATTTTTAACTATTCATGGTGAAAATAGAAAAAGAAATATGTTTACCTCTTTGGATTTAGTCCTATATATGTGCCACATATGACAAATATTGTGGTCATGAGTTTCATAAAATGTGATGAAACTAAATAACATAATGGCGTAAAGGAAGAAAAGTTGTTGGATGGGGTTGACAATTTTTGGATGGTGTTGGGGTAACATTATTGTTGGGTCCTTTTCACCAAGCCACAATTCCTGTTTATAGTGAATGCGTGTTCTCTTGTGTGTTCAAGTCTCTAACTTGATAAAGTCTTTCACGATTTTTGTTAATTTAATAAAGTCTTTCACGATATTATTTTAAAGATTTATTTTCAACAAGATTTTTATTTTAATTTAATACTTTTATTTTAAGATTTTTATTTTCGGAAATGCAACGCGTGATTGCATTCAATGAAGTATATAGCCAGAACGGCAGAAGTGCATCATGCTTTTACATTCGGATTGCGGAGGAGAGTAAAGTCAACACACGATTGGTAAATTTCTTCAACTTTACCTGTCCTTAGCCTCCTCCGCAGGCCTCTCGTGGTCCTCCCATGGGTTGCTTGAATTCACTTCGAGTTTTTTGCCCGCAACCAATGTCTTCCCACCAATGGGCAAAGATTCATGGAAGACAACTAGAAAATTTCAATATTTTGTTGCAGGTGCATGAGCCGTCCACATCATCACCATCAAGATTAATCTTGGATCAGAGGAAAGCAGAAATAACCAGAGTGAGTATTTGTAAGAAATGTTAACGTAATAAGTTCTATGACATTACTCAATGGTTATTTTAAAACTTAAGATTGCTGTTGAATATGTTAGCGCACTTGATGGTGAACCGGTCATGTACATTTTTGCATAAGCGTACATTTCATCGAGTTTCATAACCAGAGTTGTATTGCATATATGATATATCTCCCTGGGCGTTCCTGAAATTTGTATTCTACAGACTATGTCCTGCATGTAAGCACAATGAACCAGGATTAAGAACTTCATATTAATCTTCTTTAGCTGTCCACCTGTGAAGATATTTTGGCATCCGCTTCAAGCGATGGAAATATTTGTCTATGGAAATTAAAATAATATAGACAAATATATTATAAGTTAAGAAAAGATTACATATATTTTGTTGTATTAATAATTTATTGTTGTTAATAGTCGTGTTTATTCTGATAATATTAAAGATATGCCTATGCCTGGCTATGCTTGAATAGTCAGCATTTTTATACAAATAGATTCATTTGTTTTATATATACTGTTCCAACCCTAGGAGAAATCTATTCTAATCACTGGAGCATCAGCATTACCATTATACACATGCATAGCCTCGACCTCACTCTTTGATTTCTTTTGAATTTCATCCAGTCTTATATGTAGTCTTTGTTTGCTTTTTTTCTATGTCTCGTATTTGCGATGAAAAGCATCCAAAATCGTTTTGGCGTGTTTGCTAGTTTAATTTAAACAGTTAACTTCCTTTTTAAATACACCTGCCAAACATAAAAATAGTATAAAATTGACAATTATTAATTATTATATAAAATGCATAAGCCGCAAAATTGAACTTCAGACGTCATTTTCACTTTGGTGCACCGTCTAAAATCTCTTCATATTAGAATTATTTTATATTACAGATAAACCACTAAACATACTTTTTTGTCTACCGATTGCGAAACGTGTCAAAAATTAAAGATTTCGAATGTATAGTCATAACCACGGTAACTCGTCAGTTTTGAGCGCGTATTACATAATAAAATATCTGTACAGTCATGTCTGGACTTGTTTCGGGCATGTTTCTAACTATTCCATTCCCAGTCATATACATAGTCGTAACTCATAGGATAATATCATAATAGTTCAGTAAGACGAAAGACATTAAAGCTCAGTACGTTTAGTCGTACACTTTAGAATTTCACAAAGGATTTTACACAAGTGATCAACAATCCAACATTGAGTTGCAAGGATGGTAAAGATACACAACGTACGACTAATTGTTGAGAATCAATCTGGAATGACTATGCAGTATACCTCAGATTGGTTTGACAGTGGTAGACTTGCTGATACCTTCAGTTGGCCAAAAACAGTGGAGAATGGAGGCACACTAGATGTCTTATGTTATGAAAAAGATTGGTCACTGGCAGCTTGTAGTGGTACTGTTGACTATATAATGAATGATACAGAAGTCACATTTGGATTCAGCAACCCTGACGTGGGCACAAACAAGCTCGGAGTTGGCACATCAGGCAAAGCTGTCTGGGATAATATGACGAATCATGATTACTCGCCATTCGAAGTTGATATCCTCATTGGTGTTATACCATTAAGGTGCCAATGCCAATGTACAGGGGGGACAACTAACTTGGCTACTGTCAAAATCATACGTGTAGACTAGCCCATATACGAACATATTCGTCTGTTCGAGAAAATTAAGGAACGTACTGTTTAAATTGATTTTTATTAAAATAAGGCGCCTTCTCAAGGCGTTTTATTTCAAAACAATCATTATAGTTGGTCTGATGAGTGGTGATGATTCTGTAATCGGTCGCAATATAATCATTTTAATATTGATTCAAATTGACATATTAGGGCCATTTATACGGAACAAAATAAGTCGCGACTTACATAAGACACGTCTTATATAAGCGGAGTTATGGAATAAACGGTTCTCTACGGCTTCAGTCTTATTTACTTGCTATAGCTATAATGTTGTTTTGGTTGTTTTTGTTTTACGTTGTTTCAAGTTTCGGACATGTACAGTTAGACTTTTTAACAGCTAAAAATCCTGTTCTTATTTAAGTCGCGTCTTATCCAAGACGCGTCTTAAATAAGAATTTTGTACCTTTTATATGACAAACTCGCGTCTTATTTAAGTCGCGTCTTATGTAAGTCGCGACTTATTTTAATTGTTCCGTATAAACAGCCCTATTGTCTTATTTTAAGGTCCATCTCTTGGGTTTTCAGCAGACAATTCCTACCAGGTGCTACCTACCGGCTTTACATCATATTGTGTTGCGTAATTACAATAAACATGGGCTTGATCATGAACACTGGGACGTAGCGAAGCTTTGAACTTCAATGTTAAACATTTACCTGAAGTGTAATAATTATAAAAGAGCTTTTTCTGATTGATTTCCACTGTCATACCAAGTTTGCGAAGAAAGGGTGGGGTCTGGGCCGGGGTCCTCCCCAGAAATTTTTTACATTTTTGAAGCTCCAGGACTACATTTCTGCAGGCGTTTTGTAAAGCAAATTCGCAAACGAATTGGATCTAAATGACTGTATTTTACAAAAATGGTTATCATTTCACAAAAAGAACGACTTTATTATGCACATTTTACCTGAAAATGTCAAAATTTAAACTTGAATTTTACCTGATTTTACCTGTGTTCAACAGCTAAGACTTCAGATACGGGTAAATGCGGGATAGAATTTTTTTGCGCGAAGGCAGTTGGGTCAATCGAGCAAAACATATAAACACTGAAACGTTTCGGTTGTCCAGCGTCCCTGTTTGCACCAACTGACCAAAAAGGGGCGACTGAATAGGCGATTGAAACTTTGGTCGGCCTTTGTCTTTGAACGAAGAAAACAGCCGTAGTCTGTATCAGGCAGGCACGTAATTTATGTTAATTAATGAACTGTAGTTCATTGAGTCAGTTTTGTGTAGAAAGTTGCGATACAACTACCTGAAAGATATGAGCAGAACGTTGGCGTTTCGAGTGAAGACCCTTCGTCGAGAAGTTAATAGTGTTCTATACTGTTCTGTTATCATCTCTACCTACACTGACACCAACCATTCAAGATTTTGTTTGATGTACCATGGTGAATATATCATTTGCCCCAAACTATCAAACTTAGGCCCTGTTCACATGAACCCGGGACAGCGTTATGTCTCGGGGCAAGCAATTGTCGCGGGACAAAAATTGTCTCGGCTCCTTAGTAAAAGAATAGTGCTGTTCACATGATATTTGACTTGTCCCGGGACAAGAATTGACCCGAGTGCCTCGCCTCTGTAGACTGGGACACTCGCCTAGCCGGGACAACTTTTCCTCATGTGAACACTTTGCCCCGGGGCAACTTTGTCCCGGGATAATTATTTTTTTTGTAAAACGATCAAAATCGCGGCTAAAATTACATTTAGAGCACGTTGGACCCCGCAAAACTTGTTATTTGATTGAAGATATCATTAGAAATCTATAAGTGATGATTCTAATAATATTAAAATAAAATTGTCGCTAATATCATGTTTGAAACCATGCAAGAAGTGTAGTATGTTACTCAAAGAATTTGATCTGGTCAATCAGAAACAATGAATTGAGGACATTTTATTACGGCTGATAATCAACTACGATCTATTTGTGAATATCATAACATAAAATACGACTTGCGTTTATCAGAATGTTTTTTATTTAGCAATATTGCACCGTTTCACGTTGGCGGGAAAAATTTATGATTCCCGCGTAATGTATTTATAGCCATGACCCGCGCTAGCTTTGTTCATGTGAACAGACGAATCAGTACCCCGGGTCAATGACTTGTCGCGGGGCAGTTGTTTATCCCGGGATCATGTGAACAGGGCCTTATTTGGCATCTAATTTTAATTTTTAATCTTTAATGAATATATTGTGCTTTGAATTCAGTATATATAGGTGCGCTTATAGTTTCATTCAATAAATGCTAATAAATCGATCCTTTATATTTAAGCTGAAACAAATTGTTAATTAAATGGTACGCGGTTATACAAGAATCATAAATAGGCCTGCCACAAATTAAACACACTTAATTAATAATAAGCTCAGTTCAAATATGGTGGTTATCACTTGTGCCTAAGCTAATTGTGTGATTGCATTTGCATTTAATATAAGTTTGGCCGATGTTTTTGAAAAGAATTAAGTATTAGTGTTAAACATGAAAACGTTTATAGGGTCTCTTTGTACTGCTTATTAAGATTAACTAAAAATTCCATGCATGGTCAATATATTAACTACTTCAGTGAAGTATTGCAAATAAATATCCAACTTAAAAATCAAGTCACATGAAATCAGCTTGGTTTATTCATTCTAACGCTTATAGTTCTACAAGTTTCCTTTGGTTGAGAGTAAATTGCTGCTCAACCCCAACAGCGCAATTTTCCTAAAGTGTGGAAACCATACTCGCTACTTCCGTCAGTATCTCCAAATCGTAACTGTGTTGCAGGTAATGTGTTGAGATCGCTGAGATTTCCGCTATCCTCGCGAAATTCATGAACACCATGGTCGCAGTTACATCTCGGTTGTCCGCCTTCGCAAGTATTCGTCATTCCGCAAGCACATTTCCCGCTGTCGATTTCCGCTCCTCCCCAATAATTCATCCTTATTCCTTGCCGTGATACCCACCAACCATAACCATTACGTAATAGCCAGCTGTAGCAACACTCATACTTTATAAACTGTTCACAGTACTTCGACTGATTCATTATGGCCACAATTTCGTCCGTACTGACTTCATACGTGATATTTCTTCCATAATAAGGCTTTCCGCCGCCATTTCCAGTCACTTCAATCCTGTTTTCACTGTCATGTCCAATCTCGGTAACTCCAACCGCGTCCTTTCCTGTCATATCACAATAAACTGAAAATTCTGGGAAATCTGGCTCTCCAGGATTTATCAGGTAGTGACCATCAGTAAGAGATGGATACTTCGACTTCAGAACCGTGCAGGATATATCTTTAACTAAAGAAAAATAGCAATAAAGTTTAGTTTCCCCATTTGGGAATGAGATTTTCTATAGTTCAAAACCTTTATCATTCTCAAGAAGAATATTACTGGCAATTTGATACAAAGCTTGGGACATCGGCTCGAAACATTGTTCGGTGTACAGTAAATATATCGGCAAGTTAAATTTTATCTCCCTAAGAAAACATTTTGGCCAAATGCGCCTGTTGGCCAAATCTCCCTCCTCCGCCACAGGGAGCCCAAGCGTTGATCTGTGTTAGTGTTCTATGTTTTTCAGTTTATTTATTTTAGTGTCTTTATATTGCCTTTTAATTGAATTATAACACTAAATTACACTAATATGTCATATAATAATAATATTCCTATAGTCGAACATATAATAACAACATATAAGTTGATTTGTATTTGTATGTTTTTCAGTTTATTTAGTTAAGATCTATTATTAGCTTATATAAAAGCACCGCCTTTCGAACCTGACAGCCCGTTCGCAGGCTACACGCGGGATTTGAAATAGGGGACGGCAACAATATAAATACGTGACAAGGGATGAAACTCTTAATGTTTGTCATTGAGTGGACAATAATTATGCAATGAGTGTCGTGTCGAATAACGCCGTCAACCTTTGGGAATCAATGATATAAACAAGGAGACAAACTCGGATACAACTCGAGGTGAGAAGCCAATTTGTGTCGATCGTAACGAATTCAATGTTTAAAATTTAAAATTAAACAATTTAGGTCCAGTCAAGTCGGGGCGTTAATGCTACGAAACGTCGCTATTAAAAACTATAGCAATTTATAAGACTCTAGGGCTTTTATTTCACAAAATGTTTCAATGGCTATGTACTTTAGCCTTAGACATATCATGTAGCCGAATTTCAAGTTAAAATTCGTTTTAACAAGCACATACGGCTTCAAAATAAAACATCGCGGTATTGTAATTTCATCCCTTGCCATATTTCTTATTTCAGTGCGAAATAACGCGTGTAGCCTGCGAACGGGCTGTCAGGTTCGAAAGGTGGTGCTTTAATATAAGCTAATGATAGATTTAAATAAATAAACTGAAAAACAATACAAATACAAATCAACTTATATGTTGTTATTATATGTTCGACTATAGGAATATTATTATTATATGACATATTAGTGTAATTAAGTGTTATAATTCAATTAAAAGGCAATATAAAGACACTAAAATAAATAAACCGAAAAACATAGAACACTTACACAGATCAACGCTTGGGCTCCCTGTGCCTCCGCCATGCAGTTTACGTCTTAATTACTGGTATCCAATATTTTAGTTCGTACATAATCAACCTCTCTTTGCTAACTTGTTTTAAACATTTCCTACAATAAACTTAATCCAATTTTGTTTTGAAATCATCACTGCCTTCGCCTCTATTCATGATATCTGTATTTGAAACATTGAAACATTCCGTTTGAAAATCAACTTGCTTGAATACATGTCAACATGATTGTGAAGGTGATGAACATATATTTCGGCTTAAGGAATTGCTAAAGGTGCATCAATTAAATGCTAGAAAATAGACGGTTCAGAGACAGAGTTGTAACAGCTATTGGATTTAAATACGAATCCCTCGGGAGACAGGAGGGACTGCCGACTAGACATCAAGAAACGAAATACGCGTTGCACTCACAACGCAAAATTCCCATTGGTCGAAATCGATGTGCCTGTCAATCAAATCTGAGACGTAGTAATTACATGCTACAAATAATTTCCAGCTGAATACTTATTTTATAAATAAACATATGACATTAACGGTTCCTATTGAATAGATTTAATTGGACATAAGTATAGTGTTCATGTAAAGGCGGAGCCAACTTGGCAAGGACGAAAAGTGGGCGTATTTCTTTTCTTGATGTGCTGTCGGCAGTCTCCCTTTCCCTTCGTTAGCCCAGGAAGCTAAGGCCGTGGAAAGAAGGACCGCTGAGTGTCTACGATTAAAAATGATAAAAAAGAAATTCACTATCATTTTATGAATGGATATTTTAGTTCTTTCTGCGTTAGGGTCGATTCTGGTTACCGAATAATCAGGATCTTAGCGATCCTGAATATCAAGCTCTATTTTCCAAATAAAGTCTGATCACCATCCACTCGCAATAATGTTTATACTTAGTAGTCCATCAAGATGTCCCAAGAAAATGTCAATTCACACAATAACAACAACAAACTAACTATAAATAAATGCATGTACTAAATATATAATTAATTAATAACTGTGCAATAAAATTTGCGCATGTGTATATTTTTGTGTATGATAAACAAAGTGGTTCGTGTCAGGTTCTCTTTTATAGTCCATCCACCCGCAATTATAGTATCTCGTTTGGGGGGTTTCACGCAGTCGTAGTATTCGCTTTGTGTAACCAATTTTTTGCCTATACCTTTTTGTTCCGAGAATCCTTATTTTAAATAATTGTGATAATTCAATGAAAAAAATATTTACATCTTTTCATCTTCTCACAGAGTTCCCCTTCGAAATTCTCTGGACAATCACATTTAAATGGCTTCACTGGATCCCAAGCTATTGTCCCTCCATTTTGACAATCATAGATGTCTCCACAACTAGACTGGAAAAAAAAGCAAGAAGTTGTCATTTGCACCTCGGTATAGTCCTTTTGCGAATTTGGACGTTCTCACATGAAATCACCGAAATGACAACATAATCTATATTCTGTATGGTGATAAACAATACAAAATATTATTTATTGAAAACAATTCAAGAGTCTTGATTGCCTAAGAGATGACGGTGATATCGTGATATACGCTTTGTAGCTGCCCAAATTTGGAGACATGCATGACCTCACAGTGGAATATTGGTAACAAATATATACACCACGTTTGACATAACTTCGTGGTATATTCTAAAACAATGTAACACACAATGAGGTCACTCTAATTTATGGGGCTTATGCCAAAAGTGCGAAAATACAAAGGGATTCCTTGAAGAAAAGGTTCGCCGACCTTTTTTGTGTATTCCGAGAAATAGATAATAAAGCAATTATTGCATTCGGTTCTCGCAAATCATGAGACCAACAAGTAACAGTGCTATCTACATTACATCATAACACTGGTATCTGTTGGTTAAAACAGCGGTATGAAAATTCATAAGAACTAGGCCTAACACTATTATATAAACAATCGAAGGCTTCACCTCATAGGAAATATTAACAGGGTGAAATGGAATAAGCGTCTAACTGAGCTCTACAATGCAATTTTACTTCGTGATCAGACATGGTTAATTAAACTGGCTGCCATATAGTTTCCTTTAGAAAGCTTTCAACTCGATCATATTGAGCTGAACATAGGGAATTCATCTTAGCTAGCATTCATATCCCCCCATCGAAATACTTACGATTCTCTTTCCGGCTGCTTCGTAAAACGTCCAGTCATTATCTTCGTTGTTTACTTTCCCAAATCTATGGTTGACGCTGCTGTGACTTAACTGACAGTTGATTTCTTCTTCTTTTGATTTCTCCTTGTAATTGTAAGCAACGCAGAAACGTGTTTCCAAACAATTGCTGCTACAATCTAACGATGTGAGCACGCTCGATTCAGAGAGTATGCTCTCTTTCAAACGAGATATACCTGAAAAAAGTAAAGGATTGTTATTTGGAAATTTTTGTCAGCCCGAATAATGAACAGCGACCGAAGCAATAAAGAGCAACACAACAATAAACAAATGCAATCGATTGCACAGCCAGGATTTTATTTTTTGTGGGAAACTTGATAATTTGTGAGCCACAATTCTGCAGCTTCCGGAGCAATGCTTTCTTTGGATAGAATTGAATTCGGGTCTCTGAAACGGCTTTACAACACTGTAGCGACGCATGAAGAAGAGTCTAAAGGTCATAATAAATCACCTTTTAACAGTGTCATATATTGATTTCAGAATAGCTGACAATTTAATTCAGTGTCGCACAGAGCTTTACATTGGAACAAAATTTAGTTAGATTATTTTGTTGAATGCAGGCAAGATACGAAACACCGCCTGTTGACAACCACAAACCTGTTGGGGTTTGGTGGGGTAACAGGATTTAAAAATAATTTTACATGAATTAACTTTTTAAAATCATTTTACATGAATTAACTTTTGAACGTTAGATGTTGTAAATTATGATTCTTAATTTGCATAGCTGTGGAGTTGACAGCCAAGACAACTACATGGATTGAAATTATCCCAGAGTTTCTTAACGGTTATTTCCTGCATTCTGGGCAGGATTTGATTTAGAACATTCTCTGTGGTTAAAAAACCTAACCACCGACAATAATTCTCTCAAACCATGTAACGTAGAATCATAAGACAGTATACAATATTTAAAAAGTTTGCACTTGAAACAGCGAAGAATAATATGTCCTCGCACTCCAATGAATTTTTCAGATTGCTTCGCTTTCCCTGTTTCATCACCGCAGCACGTAAGTGCTAGACTATAGGGGGGTCCTTCACCCTGATTTTTATACTCAATTACTGTAATTGTGGCATTTTTTGGAGCATACACAAGGTAGACCGCGATCAGTCCCTCGGAAGAAATGAGAGACCGTCGACAACACATCAAGAAACGAAATACGCCCACTTTTCGCTCTTGTTAAGTTGGCTCCCCCTTTGCATAAACAATACTTATATCCAATTAAATCTATCCAATAGGAACCGTTAATGTCATGTTTATTTATAAAATCAACAGTCAGTCTGGAAATTATTTATTGCATAATTACAGGTACTAACGTACCAGATTTGATTGACTGGCGTATCGATTTTGACCAATAGGAATTTTGCGTTGAGTGGGCAACGCGTATTTCGTTTCTTGATGTGTTGTCGGCAGTCCTTCCTTTCCTTTCGCATAGCCATAAATCTAAACAAGAATGGCTCACATGCAGTCTACAACAAGGCAAAAAGAAACATTTTTTAATTGAGGTATATGTTTTTGTTTTGTTTTGTTCCGTTCCGTTCGGTTCTGTTGTCCTCTGCTCTGGTCTGCTCTGCTCCGTTCCGCTCTCTCCGCTCCGCTCCAGTCCGCTCCGCTCCACTCCGCTCCGCTCCAATCCACTCCGCGCCGTTCCGTTCTGTTCTGTTTTGTTTTGTAACTGTATGCTTATAGCTTTGGCAGAGAGGTTTTAGAACTGCATATCTTTTACCGCCTCCCTTATTTTTCATAGATCGATACTTTCAACGAATCTAAATCTGCACTATAAAAATATTGGCGGCAGAGACTTGTTTTATAAGCAGTGGAGCCATTTAAATGAGTGAATAGATTATCTATCTCGAGTAAGACTATTATGTATTAATTTGTTCTGGATAACTTTTTCAAAAATGACAGGAATACATGCACACAACAGGGAAGGCAGAACGGGGGAGTTGGCATACTCAATTTATCGGGAATAATTCTTAAAGTTGATATCGTTGTATGGAACAAGTTAGAACACGAGTTTGCCATGGAATAAATAGTTTAATTTTACCTCTACTTGTACATGTCGTATACGAAGTACGCATCAACAGCCGAATATGTATTACATGCAATGATCGACTGGTAATATACCAAAAACATTATATTATAAATTAAAATTTTCCAATCAAAAAAGGTCATTTCTATACCATGCAATAATGTGATTTGTTACTGTATTTCACTTGAATTTACGATTTCGCAATGCGCTGCTTGAGATGTTATAGTATCTCACGCGTGACGCGTGGACACAATGCGCTAAAACAATATGGCGTTCGTGACAACGAGACGGAATTTCGTTCTCGACGAAGCAGCGCTTTTTTTGTTCACATTTTTGCTCTAAGTTGATCCAAATGCATAAAACGCGTTATCACATGAATTTGCAAACAAATATTTTGAAATCATATGGGGTTACTTCAGAGCTTTGCTGCGAGCGGTTTTTGGTTGATTTGGAAGGGAAAGCTTATTTTCGGAAGGGAGGTTTATTTGTGAGGTTACTGGGGGCTTAATACGGGATTGCATTATCACATGAAATATGTAAAACTTTAATTTTTGTGCGAGTATTCTGGTATAATGCACAAACTTATGGACTGAAATATCCCAATTATAGTGTCAGGATCTATTGGGAATCTGTTTATATTATCTATAGGCTGCGCAAAAGTCAAAACACATTCTTGAGGCGAAATTCATGCTGCCTGGTTGGGATAGGGTGTTCACTGAATATGCTGAATTTGTTGGCTTTCTTAGCCAGGATTCCGACAATGGAAATTTCGCGCTTAGCCAGAATAGTAGGATAGGACATACTGGCGAATGCAATCCTCTGCCCGGCAAGCTAACATGAACGGGGCGTAATTGTGACCAGTAAGCCATGATGAAGCAAAAACAAGGAAGTTCTTAATATGTCGATAAATTTTGATATCTTTTGAAAATCATTCTAACTCAAAGTCACCCATCTTCCTTCAGTTAAGACTCCGAGACCAATGAATAAGTTCGAGCATTAAAAACAGTGAATACAAGTGTTATTCTCAGGCAAACTAAAGTATTCATGTCTACAAGTATAGCCTGCTTAATGCGCAGGTTAGTCTTCTGACGGCAACACAATGTTGGCGCATTACCCAGAGGACAACTAAATGTCCAAATAGAAGAAAAACGAGATAAAACAGTTGTTGAGGTAATCAATCGAATAAATACTTGGCATAGATTTGAAGGTCCGTACTCCAAATATTGGATGAGTTTGGTTTCCCATTTAACCAAAAAATAAAAAGATTTCCAGTATTAATTTGTGTAACATCCGTGAGCTAGTACTTCCGGCGGGAAAATCTAGTACTTTCAAGTTAGTGCTTCCGTTCGTACCTTGACTTTTTGGATCTAACTTTAAAATGTCTTCGTTTTACTCTGTAGATATTCAGTCGCTTTTTTTGCATGTTTGTATATACATTGATCCAAATAAATTTGTTTAAAAAAAACAGGGACCTCGAGGAGAACTAGACAGCTGTAATTTAATGGAGTTTTACTTAGCATATTTGTGCTTTAAGGACAAAATACTACATCTGGCGACGAAATAAAATGGGAAGTCATGGAAAACTAGAATAATGTGACCCACAAGAGGTATGTAGTCAGTATATTGAGGGGTTGGAATTTTACTTCGAAGCAAATGGCGTGGATGAAGAAGATAAACAACGAGCGATATTATTGAGTGCTTGTGGTAGTGAGCCGTATAAGTTGATTCGTAACTTAACCACGCCAGGAAAACCGTCAGAAAAGGCGTTTGCAGAGCTGGTAGAACTTGTTGTGCAACAGCATCAACACCCAAAACAATGCAAGGATTCAAGTTTATAGGCCCAGTTCCAACCAGGAAAATTTTCCGCAGAAAGAAAATTTTGTGAAATATGATTGGCCGACACAAATTTTCCGTTGGAAAAAATTTTGAAGTTGAAAATTTCTTCTTTTAACAGTGATATTTTCGGAAAATTTTCTGTCCGTGGAAAATTTCCTTGAGTGGAAATGGGCCTTTATACTCGGTTCAGGAAACCTGGTGAGTCAATTGCTTCGTATGAACCTGAATTAAAAAGTCTTTCAGAATATTGTGATTTCAAGAGTACTTTAGAAGAGAAGTTACGTGATCGGTTTGTGTGTGGAATAAGGTAGTGGTCATTATTTATGGGGGTAAATGGGGAAAATAAGGATTGAAAACTTTTTTGACCTCCCTCCAAACTGAAGGCAAACATTTTGTGCTCCCCCCCTCTCTCAAAAATGTAGAAACTTTTCTGACTCCCCTCCCCCCTGTATTGATTGAAAAATTAACAGCATGAAACAGGTGTACGTTGCAGGTAAAGTTAGATATTTGGACAATCTGTTCAATCTAGCTCATGATGTTTTACCATGGTGAATATGATTCAACCATATATGATAAAAAATATATATTATGTGTTACTATTTTGCAATGCAACTTTTGTCCTACCCTAACCCATGGCCCGTCTACATACAGAGAAATAATTTGAACACAGGGCTTGTTTTAAGAACTTGCCTGGGGGGTGGGCATCTACAAAAAGGACCATACTATACTGAGGGTGGAGAGATGACAAATGGTTGTTGCTGACAAAAGTTTGGTGTGGTATGATATGTACTAGTAGGGGGGTCTGGGTGTATTCTCCCCCAGAAATATGTTGTATTTTTCCACCCCTAGGACTGAAATGTGAGCATTTTCTAAACAGATTTTTGGATATACAGTGTCACATTGTGCTTTGATAGACCGAATCTAATCCGTTAAGTACATGCATGGTATGTTTTTGCAAATACCACAACTGGGTCACTCAGGGAGTAGGAAGCTTGTTAAATTTACTTAGTGGGCCTGACTCCCACAAGGCGCTACCATGGTTGGCTCCGAGCAGGGAAATTATAAAAATTTCGAGTCTCTAGATTTTTGGAAACAGCATTTTCAAGGTCTCCTTTACTTCTTTGGCATTATGATTTGTAAGTTTATTATAAGGGTAAACTTCATTTGCCCCCTTCCTCCAATTCCCCCTCCCCCTAAATAATGTCCCCTCCCTAAATGACTTACAGATTCAGCGTAGGTTGTTAGCAGAAAGTTTTCTCGACTTTAAGAAAGCCATGAAAATAGCTACACCAATAGAGACTGCAGTAAAGAATGCACGAGATTTACCACATCAGACGGCCAATGCAAATATAAATACTGAGAAACCTGAAACATTACACCGTGTAATCAACCAAAGACAAGGAAACCAACCATGGACAAAGCCCAGTGGCGCACATTCCAAAAATATCTGGGAGGGGGGTGGGGGTGCCAAATTTTTCGGGACCGACTTTCATGGTTCACTATCCACTTAAACCTGCCTGCCCGCTAGTTTACAAGCTAGTTTAGTTTTAAAGACTACAAACTAAAAATTATTAATGAATGCATTGGAGCCGGGATTGCTGCATTTGTACATGGAATCAGAAAAGGACACATCAAGAAGATTCGGAATGTAGACTATTCCATTTCTGTAAGCATTTTTATTTTTGTTGCTTCTAAGATATAAAAACCTTATAAGTTTAAACCATTTAGATAAACGTTTTAGCAAAATTAGTGAAATACAGTACAGTATGTAGCCGGAATCATCGATTCATTGTTACTGGTTTCATTCTAATATTTCATTGAAAAAAACGCTTCCTAGGCTATATTAGTAAAATTATCCAACACTTATCAAACGTCGTGTTTTTGCCCAACGATCCACAATTTCATCCAGATAAATCGAATCTGTAATGTTACTTT